AATGGCACACCCATAAACTTGTGCACCAATTACACAGACTATATTTGGGTTTCTTTTTCTGTACATACTCCAACTGAAATGCCCTGGCTGAATTCAGAAACTACTATTACTTCAGTAAAGTGTAAAAACAAGGAAAATATTATTTAAAAAAATAAAAAGAGGATTCCCAAGGACTTTCTTGTGTTGTAACACTGTCCAATGATTTTAAATGTTGACCAAAAAAAAAGCTAAAATACCTTAAATGTAGGGAAGGCTCTAGAGACTGCTTAATTTAATATAAATAAGCATCTAATTAATCTCTCTGGTGATTTTACCACATTCCTGATTAGGCTTGACAAACAAACTGTACAGTCAGAAGCAGAATCTATGTGAGCCACAACAGAAAATCAAAAATAAAACCTGGAATATTACTGTTAAAAATACACAAAATGTGGCATAAAGGGCAGAATTGTATAACTGCTCAAACAAGAAAGTTTCTGTGACACAGTGAGACACTATCTGGTCTTTCTCCACCAAACCACCCAGCCTAGCTCAGAGGGTTAGGTGTTACCTGCTTACTAGGTTAGGGCATCTAAAACACAAACCACCGGCCACCAATATTTAACGTTTACAAAAAAATATTTCCAATCTAACTGCTTACATGTTAACACTGTGAGCTTATCTAGCACCCTCAGGGGAAAAAAAGGCTGGTGCAGCAGAAATAAAAAACCCCATGTGTGTAGCCAGGGGAGCAACACTCTTGCTATGTCAGATCTTAGTGCCAGTGCTGTTGCAGGTTATCATATTACTACCTGAAATCTAATTATCAAGCAGAGAATTCAACCAGCACTTTAACAGCTGACGTATTGTTTCTGAACATGTTGTTCAAGTCCAGGTGCTCCTGTCTCATAACAAAACCATAAAAGAATAAAAGGGAGTAAGTATTTCAGTGGAAAGGATAAAAATGTAAACTTTTGACCTTTTAAAAATCCTAACTAAATTTAAAAACACTGGTTATTAATCACCAAATTGCATCACTTTTCAAAAGTGATGATCTCACTTAGGCAGGCCATAAAATTCAATCCACTTTTTCAGCTTTCCTCAATGAAAACATGGTGAAGTGTATTCAAACTACCACAGCACCTAAGAAGATTAACTGACAAATTCAAAAAAATAAATACTGCAAACTAAATAAACTTTATATGAAACATTTTCATTACTTTGGACAAACAGGTGTAAAGCTGGTGCATTACAGTGATGTGTCATCTGCTGTATGCAAAAACCAAAGCCAATGCAAAACATATGCTTGTAAGAAGGGACCTGGCAATCTAATATTCAGCTCCACTGCCACTATGTTTATCAGCTGAAATTTTATGGACAAGTACATCATCATGCAAATGTATAGAAACTCGTTGTCACATCTAAACTTTCAGTATATTTCACTCTCCACTACGTTTTACGACACTAAAACTTAGATTATATTTTCTTGAGGAACTCACTTATACGCACATAAACAACTTGACAGCCTATATTTATTGCTGTTGAGGCAAATAACTAAAACCAATACCAGCATCTGGAAAATAACCAACTAGAGCCGCAAAAACCTGTTCCCATCACTGCAAATTTGAATACTATAAAGTTTGTGCTGAGTGGTGCAGAAAGAAGGAAGAGAAGGGTGGGGGTTCAATGCAGCCTGGCTATAACACATGTGAGCAAGTACAAGAAGAGAGGCACAGTTTCACCAGGAAATGGGGGTGGGAGCCCATTTTGCCGGAGGGGTCTGAGAAGACAGAATGATGAGTCACACAATGTCATGCTAACAGTCTGAAACAGCACAACGGTGCTCTGCAAAGAGAGTGCAAAGGCAGATACCAGAGAACGGAGGGGAGACTAGACCTGTAGCATTCAAAGGAGATTAACTTTAGACAGAACTAAAATCCAAAACTGTAAAAATACATGAATACTGATTTACAAATGCTTCCTACTGAGTAAGAGTAGTATGCGCAAAATTACTACACCTTCTTCACCTCAGAACATTAACATGATCTAAAAGTAAGAAAACAGTTCATAACAGTTTACATATGACTAAGATGTCTTAGTGATACCTCCTACCCTCTAGAGATTAGATGTAACCAATTCAAACCTGTAGTTTTTTTTAAACAAAAGTCACCGCTCTATGCACATACATCACAGACAATATTGTAAAACTGAGTGAAAAGTTTGCCACTAAAATTACATGAGATCAAAAAGGGATTTAACCACCAATGCTGTGTCAATTCAAACAGCAAGTACCTTTTTTACCATGTGTATTCCCTTTTACTCATAGATTATGTTAAACACTCACTATCTTAATCCATTTACGATATTAAAAAAATAAATGTATTAAACTATTTTCAGCTATGTTTCAGAATTCACATAGTGGACTGAAAACAGACAATTTTGACTTTTAGCACAAAATAGAGTGTTAGGTGTAGTACAGTTTTGTCTGTATTTTTAGTATATGTAGGCACATACATTACAGTGGAAAATTGTATTTAGAGAAAAAAAAACAATAGAAATGTATTTTATAAAATTAAAATCTGCCATGTTCTACTTTTACACCCACTCCACACTGCAATGTAACCCATACTTTCAAATACACCCTAACCTGATTGTATAGACCTGAGCCTTAACACTCTTTACGGGTTTTACACAGTAGATCACTCTCTTAAGATTAAAACTCACAGTTTAGAATTATTTTTGAGCGTCATATAAGGACATGACAGTTCGCAAATTCAGGAAGTACAGTAACATAAGCTTGGAAGGATATTTGTTCCCTATCAATTTTAAACACACATGGTGATGTAGAAAGAATATTTACACATTCAAGTATTTTTAAAGCTGCAAATATCATAGCTTTGTCACATTTGGAAATTATCATACTATTTATCAGGTTTCCTACACCCCACAAGTTCATCATATGTCACAGTCATGTAATTTCCTCCCTCTTTTGCTGTATAATATGGCTTAGAAAGGGTTTTCCCTCTTTTCATGTAAGTTAGTCTTCCACCAACTAAATGCCCTCCGAGGAAATAAAAAAGATCATACTATGTACAGTTTCATTGGAAAGATGCTGTCCCACTTCTATAGCAAGGGTTCAATATGCATTTGCAGTGAATAAAGCTTTGCCTTTGACTGTCATATTTAGTCCCATTTCCTCTTGGGTTATGCTATTTAATTAAAAAAGTAGAGCAAAAATATTAACCTTGCTGCTGCAGAAAAAAAATGTATGGCAAATAAAATTACTGGAAAAATGCTATTAGTAAGCACACTGTCATTTGTGACGGGCCAAGTGGGGGTTGGGGGGCATTGCAGGGAAAATTCGATGCATACAGTCTTGCCACACATTCATCTGAATCAGAATATTTTCCTTTTAAGATATTTCAACACAGCACTTGACACCTATTTGTTTAAATGAATGCAGCTCTGCAAAAAGATAGGAAGGCCTGGCATTATGTAACACATTAAACCGATCTCTACTTAGAAGGAAGTAGAAGGGGCGGGTTCAGACGCACAATTATATAGAGCCTCTCTTTTCCTCTCCTAGGCTTTATTAGTCATTATGAAGCAGCAAAAGGCAACAGAAAACACCACACAAACAACCTCTCCAGTAATTAACGACTAGGTCCGTTTTTGTCACTCTTTACTAAACCGATTAGACCACGCAGAGGGGTTCCCCCCCCCCTCTTCAATGTACTTGAATTAAAATCAGGGTACATGGCATGCAGAAAGTGGAGCAATGCTCGTAAGGGGCAACAAAAAAAGAGGCAGAAAACAGTAACAGAACCCCTTCCTCATACGACGAGCCCAAAAACCACCAACCACGAACAACACGATTATTTCTACACAACTAATGCATTCAACTTTTTCAAGGAGAATAAAGTTGAATCATCTGAAGTCATGACTGTTGTCACTTGGCTTGAGAGGCAAATGATTTCAAGTTAAAGAAGATATGCATTTCTATATATAAAAAAAATAATAATAATAAAAGCTGCAAAATGAAGACTGTTATTGACATAGGAGGAGTTAATTATCCTGCAATGGGTGAAGGAGCTACGTTAAATAATAAATAAATATTTAAAAAAAAGGATGCACTGGTAAGGTTAGGACTTCTAACAACCACCTCACCACAACTGCTGTGCACAAAAAAAAAATCGTCATTACTGTTAAGAGCATCACGAACTGTGAGGGTCAAACAGCATATAATAAACTTACCGGCTGTTTTTTTCTTTTTTTTTAAGGTTCAAAAGAATCCCCCAAAAAAACAACATATATGCCTGGATGAAAAAAAAAAAAAAAAAAAAAAAAAAAAGTCTGCAATAGATTGACAAGCTCGGTAAATAAAATAAAATAAATGAAAAATGAAGTTACCACAACAGCAGTGTGTCTGTCACGGTCTCTCGTATTGATTTTTATTTTTTTTCCCTCCACAGCCAGTATAGAGAGGAGCCGTGTGCATTTGTTGACACTGCCGACTGACTGCTTCTCCTTTTGCACCTCCCGCTCAAAACCAGACGGGGGGAAAAAAAACAATATAATTCAACTCTGATTTGGTTAAAGTATCTCCTTCATGCTTAATAATCTCCCCCTACCAGTCTTCTTCTTTCAAAATACCCCCCACCCCCCCTCACCGCCTTCCCCTCCCTCCTCCTCCTCCTCCTCCTCCTCCAACTCCCTGCATGAAACAACACGACAGTCTGAGCGCTTTTCTATTCTACGGTTTCAGCGCAGCGAAAAGTCTGAAATCCCTCCTTATTACGTGCAGGTCTAAAGCTAAGCTAACAGGCTAGAAGTAGAAGCTGGCAAAAGCTGGCCCAAATGGCTAACGTCTCTCCCCCCCCCTCCTCCTCGCCACGGCCGGTCTCTCTCTCTCTCTCTGTCTCCTCTTTTTCCACCGTATTCCGCTCCGTGTGGCTCCGCGTACACTACAGTGTCCGGTAAAAAAAAAAATGAATTAAAAAATAGTTTGTGGTTTGAATTACCTGTGTTTCCATTGAGAATACAACGAGTCCCCCCTCTCTCTCTCTCTCTCTCTCTATAAAAAAAAGCCGCTGTTTAATGTTGAGCGCTCCGGGTTTTCTCCTCTCTCTCCCTCTCTCTCTCTCTCTCTCTCTCTCTCTCCGTCTTCAGCGTCAGCATCCTCTCTCCGCAGCTGCTGAGGCAATCGCTGCTCACTCGAAAATGGCGCCGAAAGATACACTCCTCATTCAAATTCGATAGAGCCTCCCATTCTCCCTATTGGCTTACTGCGGAGTGGATTCCGCGCCGCTGATTGGTCGCTGAAAATGCACTCTCGAATGATCTCGCAGCCCACGCAGCGTTGAAACAGAGAGACAAATTAACTCTTTAAGCTCCCCTCGTCGACATGTACAGTAACCAACCACAGCAAAAAAAAAAAAAAAAAAACCTTTTCGTAAAAACTTGTTCAAACCAGTTTTTTTTTTGTTTTTTTTATATGAAATGAATGCCACTATTCTGGGGAAACGACTATGAACCATTGGACCAGGCAAGTTTGTATTTATAAGTCACAAGATGTGCCACAGAAGCGTATGATAAAAGCTAAAAAAACCCCCCAAAAAACAGAAGTTTGGAATAAGTCAAAAGTGCAATGAGGTCAACTTAAACACACTGCATTCACACGACCAAAAAAAGTACTTGACATGATAGAAAATGTTAAGTTGCATGTAGCCTATTGATTTGATTTACTGTTATAACAACCATTTGAATGTGTCAAGTGTTTCACCACTCCCCCCCCACAAATTGCTCTACAAAGCCTCTCATCATATAAGTAGAAAAAGGTAATTGAAAGTTATAAAGCCTCTGCAAAGGCCATGGTTCTAAGTGAACGGACTAAAAGGCTGAGAAATGCAATTGGCCTCCTGGTTAAAATACACAGTTCTTGACTTAGATGGCCTGGATTAAAACTTAGTCTTTTATTGCACTTTAATCCGCTGATTATTTCTCCAAACAACATTCTGGAAGTGGGAAACATGCAACTAGTGACATTTAGGAAGATAGTGTACTTAAGGTGTTCAGAATTTAGTCTTTTCCCTCCATTTCTATTACTTTTCCAACAACATACATTAGGTAGATATTGTACTATTTTTCTGCACATCATTCATCTGACAGCTTAGGTTACTGGTAACTTTTAACATGAACAAATAATCAGTATCTCATAAAACACAAGAACTGAAAGATTAAAACCTTAGAGCCTTTTGGCCTGTGACCTAATAAAAGCAGATTCTGCTTGGTCCTCCTTGTCATTTCAGACATCTGAGTCATTATTGAATCCACCAGAGGACAACTTACTCGTGCTACTCCGGCACATAAACACCCACACACACAAACACACAAATCTTCCGTCATGTTTTAATTTGCAGAGGCCAACGAGGTCAAATACTTTACCACCACATTAGATAGGCTATCACTTGATCAGTCAGCTTTACCCTATCTTGGCTTAACTAGTGAACGACATAGGACTATATTTTTATTAATCTAATGATGCGTTTTGTGTTTATAAAATAAAATACACAAGGTATTCTTTTGCAGATGCAGTTTTACTTTTCACACTTCAGGTGCCTTTAGGGGATTTGAATGAAGGACCGTATAGTGCAGCGATTTCACATTGCTGTATTTTAAGTTGAGTAAGTAAGTGACTGCCGCCTCCCCCCCCTGCCATCACTTCTGTGTCCTATAAAAATCATGAATTAAGATGTTTCTGTCAGGGTACATAAAACATATTTTTCACTGTTGTCACATAAACACACCATTTCCAGTTTACATGGCGCCTGCAGACTTTTATCAAGCAGATTTCTTTTATACAGCAAATAGTATAAGGAGAGCTTATTGCATAAATGTTGACTTTTTGGTGTATAAGAATTCTGAATTACCCACTTCATGATACTTTTCATAGCATTCTCCATAGAAGTGCATGAATGTCTATTCAAAATGTGTTCCATATTTACTGAATACATCTGCAGTTAGCACAATAGCTCTTGTCTTTGAGTGGCAGGCTCCATCAAAGACAAAAGCCAAATAAAACACGTTTTTGCAGCCGACGATGACAGGAGTGTAACAGCTGGTGTATGCGTATTATTAGGGTTGAAAAGTAAAAAAAAAAAAAAAAAAAGGAATCTGTGAGATTACGCCTAAAGGGCCGAAGAGATGCAAACCAAAATTGTTGAAAGATGTCAGGGTACAGAGAGCAATAAAAGCATTCAATTTGAGTCAGTGAGGTAAAAGAGCTGCGCCTCAGTCAGCAGTTATGTTCTCCTTCCACTCTGTCTTAGTTTTGTTTTGCACAGTTTGAATGGGGACATTGCTTTCTTATCTGAAATTGCTATGACATCATATTGCCCTCTCTAATTTTCATAAAGTTTCTCTTTCAGTTGCACTCTCTTTTTTTTTTTGACTGATTTCTTTTCAACACCTTTCAAATGCACTTGGATATCTATAGCTTTAAAAGAAACAAATTCCATAAGTAAATTACATGGCCTAACCACTTCTTCTCAATTTGAGATAAGCTTGCCTACACCACACACACACACACACACTCACACACACACTCACACACACTCACACACACTCACACACACAGGCGGCTGTAGTGTACATACAACGGCCAAAGCAAGGACAGGTTGGGCTCTGCCACAATAACCCTGCTGTTTTCATATCTGCTGTAGCATAGTGTACCTCGGGCAAGATAAACAGAGACAGCCATTTCATCCCAATGCACACATAATAACAATACATAACATTCACCTGCTCTGTCAGTAGTACGCTCCGCCAGGCTGCAACCTGCTATTAGATTAAGGGTGTGCCTAAGTAAAATAAGCAAATATTCTGATGCAACTTTTTTTTTTAAATAAACAGTTAAAGATAACTTGTTGTAAAATTGCTCTAAAACTTAAAGATTTCCAAACTCCCTCACTAAAAGCAATAACACATCTTTGCATTGCACTTTGCGATAGTACATAATGGTTTTCACTTTGGAGTACAAGAGCAGGCTGGGAGAGAGAGAGAGGGCGCCCATTGTATGTGCATTCTGGTGTAGTGTGGACAATGGGGCGGAGAGGAAAAAAACACACTTGTTTACAGATAAACTGGTTTGGACAGGAAGCCAGTAAGGAGGAGCTCTGTGTTGTTAAACAGGCATGTGGAGAGGCAGGGATGAGCCAGCAAAAACACTATCGTGACCATAGGGAACATCATGATGCGGTGGTGCTGCATGCACATACACACACACACACATGCACGTATTGCGATGTACAACTGCAACATGTGCAGATCTTGGAGAAATGTTTGCTTTTGTGTTAAGTGTTGTGCAAAGATTGCTTAGTAGCCCAAAATCTGTACAGTGACTGGAAGAGAAACTGCGGTTTGTTTGGTTTCACTATGTCAAAAATTAACAGGATAAAAAGGCGCCCATGGGCCCCTATTAGCTGTGCCAAACAGTAGCCAAGCTGAGCTGTGGTGAATACTATACAGTTCATCCTGCATTGTGTCACCGTCACATGAGCACACACTGCCTTCCATTAGGGCAGGAGATCCTTATGACTCACGAAAACACAAGTCACATGTCACTACACAAATGAACCATGCTACTCAGGCTGCTCCGTTATCCACGGCAAGCTTTTCAGCGCGCCCAAATGAAATCACATCATAATGCATCTCTTCATTAGGAGGGTCGAGACCGAGTGGAGCTCTCCCTTGTCTTCCTCTAGATGAGCCGAACAAGAGCCGCAGTGTCGTGTGTCGTGGTGTTTGGACACAGCAGGGAACGAAAACCTCGGCCGCAAAAAAAAAAAAAGTTGCCACGCCGGGGCAGTTTTTAGTTCAATGTAATTTGATTTCATGTTCGATGACTTGCGTGCATACTTGGCTGTTACTCTCAGCTGCTTCTCATTCAATGAGGAGTTTTACGGCTTCTTTTTTTTTTTCTCTCTCCCTCTCTCTCTTTTCTCTCATGTGATCGCCTTTCACACCACCACCAGACATGGCTGCATCACATCAAATAGACAGTAGCACAAGCAGCAGCTCACAGCACACTCAGAGAGGTTAAAAGCATGGGGCTTTGAGCAAATCCTTCTATTTAAGTGAAAAAATATCTACAAAAGAGTGAAAGACAACCTTTGAAGACACTCCCAACAAAAAGGTTGGCTGAGGTCAAAGGTCAAATTAAACTAAAGGTGCCTGAAACAAAAAGTTTGTGGCTAAACTGTCAACCTAAGGAACCAGAGAGCATCAGAGTATGAATTGGGTTTACTTTACACAAAATTAGATTTTTCACACATGCACATAACACATCTAAATATCTGAACATTTTAAGAGTGAGCTGCATGTGTAAGGAACAAACGGGTGAATTTTTTCAACTCGCATTTACCAGACTTTTCCCTGCAAACCTGTTTGTAAACTGTGTCTGCAAAGTCGGAGTAAGTCGGCAATATTCAGGAAAATTCACGACCAGTGGGGAAGCAAGGGTGATGTCGTTTATATAACGTGATCCGTGAGCCACTGGTGCAATCTTCATGCTCCTGAAGAAGCTGTTTCATTCTCTTTCTACAAGCCAGAATTTTCTTTTCCACAAATTTCTTGTTACTAGCCTTTATTTTAAAGTGTGATTCTGCATCAGCGCTGTAATGAAGCTCCTCCATCACTACGTCTTTGCACATTCATATTGATTGCGCAATGGCGTGATAATATTGCTGTCCCCGTCTGTGAATTCATATTGCGTTACGGTGTTGCTGAAGCACGATGTGTGGAGAAACATTCACATCCGGGTCGTACGTGCATGTGACAGCAGGAGGCCGTCATGGTCATTTGAAAAAGGATCATGCGGAAGTGTGCGAGTGAAGCAACAGAAGCCGAGGCTAAGATTACAATATTTTTCACAATACTAACAAAAGAGTGGAGCAGGACAAAAACATGATAAAGCAGTTTTCTTTAGGCCTACATGATTGCATTTTTCAAGCACATACAGTCCATGGTCGTGTGCTGGACCCAGGATATAAATATCATCAACTTCCCCCCCGCTCTTCTGCATTGAATTTCCCTGAATATTGCCTGCTGCGTTCACACATCAGCTCAAAATTTGCTAGATAGCTAGCAGGAAAAAACCTGGGTAAACTCGGAGTGAAAAACGAGGGCTATTTGCATTCACACATGCAGCTCAAAATGAAAATGACAGGACAGTTTCTGGAGTTTTGTACATGTGCGAAAGAACCACAAGTCATGTCCTGCCTTCTGAGACCCCATCCTCACCTCCCATCTGACAAGGCAAATGTCACGCT